ACGAATATATGGTTAGTTAACAACAACAACAACAACAACAACTGATAGTGAGAGAGAGAGAGGAAAACGACAAGCAACATCTTTTTTTTTGGTTCTCTATTCTTCACTTGAATAGTTTGCAACCATTATAATCATGTTTCCGAAACTCATTATCAGGCCACTTTTTCTACTTCTTCTCAGCCATCATCATCATCATCATCATCGTAATCGTAATCGTCGCCGTCGTTGTCGTCGTCTTTAAACTCAAAGAGTTGATATAGAGACCAGGATCAAGATGAAAAAAAAAATTCTATTCTCAATATATATCTATAGATGTACGGATTGGCTAAAAGAAAAAAAAATCAACACTATGTATGTCAGTACAAAATGTACTAAATGGAAATAATAGAAAGGCAAAAGAATCGAAAAAAAGAAAAAAAAAATTCCCAAATATCCAGACTGTGTGTGTGTGTGTGTGTGTGTGTGTGTGAGAGAGAAAATTTTCATTTCGAAACAAAAAGAAAAAAAACAGTTTCGAATGACAAATGAATAATAATAAAGAGATGAAAAATCTTCGACCCTTTGTATTTATGAATTCTTCTTCTCAATTTTTTTTCTTCTTTTATGTCTGGAATTTTTTTTTCGTAATGAACAAAAAAGCAAGAGAGAGAGAGAGAAAATCGAGAAATTAATCGATAAATGGAATGATAAAAAGACAACAACTTAATACAGGGTGGGAAAAAAAAATTTTCTCTTTGTCGGTTTTTTTTCACTTGCTCTTCATGTTTTTTTTTACTACCATTGTGATGGACAAAGAATTGAGAATATTTTTGTTTAGTGGAAAATTCCAATTTCTTTTATTCCCATGTGGTACGTATGTGTGTGTGTGTGTGTGTGTGTGTATGTTTCTTTGTTCGTAGGATTTCTCAAGAGAAATTCATCTATAAGAATTAGGCATCATCAATGAGATCATCATCATCATCGATGAGAAATAAAATTATTCGTGTCTATTTTTGTGTTCTGTTTGTTTTTGTTTTCTATTTTTTTTTTCGTTGCACGATGTTATAGTTCAATCATTGATTTTCAATTCATTCATTCATTCATTTCAGTGTTTTTTTTTTTTTGTTAGTTGTTCATTTTTTTTCTCTATTGTTGTTATCATTATTTAATCTAAACATCTTCAGGGTAAAAAAAAAAAAATAATAGTGAATGGATAAAACACAAGAACCATAGTTTTGGAACATATAGATAAAAAAAAAATCCAAACAACTTACTTAAAGTACGAAAAAAAAAAAACAAAATTCCAAAATGGATGGTAACCAAAAAGAGAGAGAGAGAGACAGAGAAAATGAAAACAAATGTACAATGATCTGAACAAAATATATATCCACTGAATCTAAATTCGACAACTACTAACAATGGATTGACGTCACACGTTTTTTTTTTTTTTACTTTCGTACATCATTTATGCTTGTATATTGTAAGAATTTGTAAGAATCCAGAAACAAAAAAAAAAAAAAAAGAAAAAAAATCACTGAAAAATCCGATGACGACATCGGTGATATGGATGATGGGTATGATATAATTCTGTGAGAATGAGTTAAAACACGCGTACAGAGGAGAATTTTTTTATTTGTAAAAAAAATAAAAAAACAAAAATTAGACAGCGGCAATAAGCTACACAAAACACTGCCATTATCTCTATCTCTCTCTCTGTCACCATCATAGGATTCCAAAACCTCAACTTCAAAAAAAAAATGCTGCCTGTCATTGGCGTATGTACCAAAGAAACAAGTGAAAACCAGAATAAAGACGAAAAAATGATAACACAAATTTAATTCAATTAGTGATGACGATGAAAAGTTTTTCTTTTGCCGTTGACATTAAAAAAAAGTTGATTTCGTTGTTAGTGAAATAATAAAATTCGTAATGAAAGAGTTTAGTTTTTTTACATAATAAAAACGATGACACTCTACTCTCACATACTAAGATGGAAAAAAAATACAAAATACAAAATAAAGATTATCGAGTATGAAAGAAGCAAATACTATACTCTGTCTCTCTTGAGATATTCATTGAGTTCAATGGTGAATCTAACTTGAAGCAAGTATCTGATCGTGTACCATCCAATAACATTATTGTTGGTCGTGATCATATGGTTAAATTATGAAGGTCACCGTGTATGGCATACTGTTTCGGTGATATAGACCTTGCATCAATGAAAGTGATTAACGTCATTGAACAACGAAGTGAAAAACATTGTACATTGGAATGAAATGAAAAGTTGATTGGCAAAATGAATTTACGAATGGAGAAATTGGATAATGGTGATTTAAATCGAAATTATTGAATAATTTTCAACAAAGCAATAGAACATCTTGATTTAAAATCTTTGAACAAAAAAGGTTTTTGGAACAATATGAATGAAGTCGTTGGATAAAATTCGACCGATTTTTTAAACAGATGGATACGAAGATCATGAAAAGTTCAAAAAGATGATCAACTGGTGTCCACGCGTCATTTATGGAATTCGAAAATCGTACGGATGGTCTTGGTGAACATGATTTGAATGAAATCCATTCGGTCAACCATAAAAAAAAATGTAAATGAAGGAATGAAAAGAGAAAATGTGTAATGAAAATTAATTGATAATGAAATGAAAATGGAAAATTCTCTGAAACATAAATGATTGAAAATTAAAAAAAAAACGGAAATGTGAATTTTTCTCATTCATTCATTCATTTTATTCTTTTAAATTCATTGACGTTGCTGTTGTTGCTATTGTTCCATGAAAACAAAAATTTTCATTTTTTTCTTTATTTCCGATAGAATTCATAGCTATTCACAGAATATTCTGCACGGTTATTTGAATTTTTTTACGTTTGTTTTTTTTTGTTAATGATGAATGAACCTAATGTGTGTAAATATATTATATATATCATTTATAAGCTGATTAATTACTGCTATAATATTTTCAAGATTAAATCTTCAACAGCTACACTTTATGCCGAAATGTGAAGCTATTAATTATTATTGTAGTGGATGTTGCCCTGAATTTCTGACTAAAAAGTAAATAAATGTGGCTGGCTGACGTTTATTAAAAAAACGGAAATGTGAATTTTTTTTTTTTTTTCGTTTTGCTCTTATTCTTCTGTTTCTTCTTCTAATTGACCTTTTATCAGTTAATCAAAAAAAAAATTTTTTTTTTTTTTTTTTTTGTTACAAAGTGAAGAGAAAAAAAAAAAAGTTTGTTACCATTATGATGATGATAATAGATTGATAAAAAATATGTTAAATGTGTGGAATACACCCTTCCGGTTTTTTCCCGTTTACCGATTGTATCAGATAATATGGTTTGATATTTTGAAATGAAATTTTTTTTTCATTTAGAAAAAAAAAATAAACTGACAAAATGACTCAATGAATCAAGTTAACCAAATTTATTTAATTTTTTTTTGTCAAAATGATATGGTAACATTATGTTTGAATGAATTTACATGCACAAATTAGCCATTGTTGTTGTTGTTGTTGTTGTTTTTATTTACTCACAATCATTAATCATTGATATGAAATCATAACTGATGGAATAAAAAACAACCAGAACAACAATGTATACAATCGGATAGCTATGTAAATCTGGTAGAATTTTTTTTGTTATTTTGTTACATTCCCATATATGATAAGATTAGATATGGTTCCATTCAATGGAAGTTTTTTCGTTTTTTTTTGGAATTTTAAATTTTCTTTTTTTTTCATGAATAAATTAAACTATATGATGATGAATGATATGATTTATGCATGCAAAAAAATAAAAAAATAAAAAATAAATGGAAATTCATAGAAAATTCAAAATCTCATTGATTAATAGAATTTAAAATCATTCGAATGATTCTTTGGTCAATTCTTTATTCAATTTTTTTTTTTGGTGTTTTTGATGACATTTTCCACAATGTCCAACGATATCATCATCATGCTCTATGGTTAGTTGATTCAAACTTTTTGTTGTTGTTGTTGTTGTTGTCAAAATTGAAAATAATGTGCTTAAATATATGTTGTGTATATGGAATAAAAGTAACGGAAAAAACTTTTCATTTTAGACATTCAAACAACTATATTCAAATTTGAAAGAAAGAAAAAAGAAACCTGTATGTTTGAAAAAAAAAATTTTTTTTTCTTTAGATGATTTACGTACAAAAAAAAAGTTCATTTTTAGAACCATCATTCAGAGATTCGTGTGTGTGTGTGTGTGTAAAAAGTTTTTTTTTCTCTAAATGTATGAATATCAACATTGTTCGGAATTGATGGTTCATGTCAACGATAAATTTCAAGTTTTTTTTTGTGAAATTTTTTTTCCTCAGATATTTTAAATGAACATAAAACATAATTGTCTACTATCACGACAACAACGAAGACGGCGGCGAAAAAAAATGTCACGCCATTTTTTTTTTTGCAAATTGTATCTATTCGATTTTTTTGTTAATTCAAGATCATCATCATTTGTCTGTCATTTGATTATATATCGTTAATTCTTGGTTTATTTTTCTTCTATTCTTAGCATCATTTTCATTGATGATGATGATGATGAATATAATGAAATCGAAAAAGTTTTTTGTTATGTTTGTCTGTGTGTGTGTGTGTGTGTGTGTGTGTGTGTATGTATGTGCAAGACGAGACCTTGTCGTTTAAAGTTTATAACAAAATGAAAATTATCTACCATCCACCCACGCATACACTCAAGGACTTGGCCTAATGAGAAGAAGAATACATCAAATTGAGTATAAAAAAAAAAAAAAAAATAAAATTACATCATCAGGCCTTGTACAGGTTTCCATTTATCTCTCGCTCTCTCTCGCTCTCTTTTATATCCGGTAGCAAATAACAAATAAAATTTCTATTCAAATAATCATATTTCCTGTTGCAATTATAATATAATAATAATTGTTGAAGAGATAATCATTGGTTCGTGTATTGTATAATAATAATAATAATGATAAATTAGAAAGAGAGAAATAAAAACTTACCAATTTGTGGAATATCATAAAGTTTTCCAGCTGATGATGATCCACTATTACTATTACCATTATCATTATTATTACCACCATCCATAATATTATGATGACCATTATCATTATTACTAAGATGTCTTTGTGAACGGCTTTTAGCCACACCATATACTGGTTTACGATCAGATGGACGTTCTTGATTGACAATTCCGTTATTATTATTATTATTATTTCCATTATTTGTCAAAATTTTATTTTGCTCATCTTTGATCGGATTTGATTCATTCATCGTTATTATTTTCGGTAATAATTCATTTATTACTAATTGCGGTGGACGTTGTTGTTGTTTAGAGCCACGATTTTTATTTTTAAGATTTTTACGCCATCCTTTTGGACGATTACGATTACGATTTCGATTTTTATTTGTTTGATTCATTGATTGTTTTGATTCATTATTATTAGTAGAAATATTATTTGATTGTCTATTCATATTATTAATATCATCCAATGATAAATTATCATTGATGGCAGTCATTATTGTTGTTGTTGTTGTTGAATTCATTATTGATTCTGGCTGTTGTTTCAATTGTAATCTAGAAAATTTTTGTTGCTGTTGCTGTTGCTGCCTTTGTCGATTACGATAACGTTGTCGTTGTCTTTGCTGTTGTTGTAGTGCTCTATTCTTTGATCTAGCATCATTAATTGTTGATTGATAGTAACGATTACGATTTTGATTGCTACCACTGTTTATTGATGGTCGATATGATGAACCATAATAGCTATCACTTTGCTGTTGCCATTGTCGTTGTCGTTGTTGTTGTTGTTGTAGTTGTAGTTGTTGCTGACGCCATCTTTGATTGTTATAATAATTATTATTACTATTTAAACCATAACCGGTACGGCCATTATTTGTATTCATATTCATATTGCTATCATCGATTTTTGTCCATTTATTTGTTGAATATGGATTCATTATTCGTTTATTTGGACTAATTATTTGACTTGGAATATTGTTGGCCATCATCATAATCGTTCTATTTATATCTTCATTATTATTATCAGTAACGGAATTGTCTACATTGTTGTTTTGATGATGATATGCAAATCTTTTGGCCGTATTCATTTTTGGACTTAGGCTTTCATCATCAATGATTGTCGTATCGAATGGATTAATTGAATGGCCAGTTAGAAAATCTGGTTTTTGTCTTTTAAAATTGTTCCATGTTGACCAATGCCATGATGATGATGGCCAAATCGAACTGAAAGATCTACGGCGCCACAATCTTTGTTGTTGTTGTTGTTGTTGTTGTTGTTGTTGTTGTTTTAGCCACAATTGATGTAAGAATGTTTGCAGTAATTTTTCTTCAGAATTCTTTTTCATTAATTCTATTGTTGGTTGATTGTTTTCAGCACCTGTTCTTGGAATCGGTATCCATCCATTTTGTTCATTGTCTTTATGATCATCATCTGGTTTATATCGTATGTTTTCATCATTCTTATTGTTGTTATTGCTATTCATGTTTATGTCCGAATAAATAATGGGCTCTTTTGGATGTAAAAACGGAATTTCATTCATTATTGGTGATAGATTTAATGTTTGTAACATTTGTAGTTGTGGTTTTATCTGGGAATGATTTTGTCTATTCATTGTCGTTGTCGTAGTCGTAGTCATCATCATCATTGATTTTGTCATTTCTGGATTTTCAACATATTCAATAGCTTGACGACGACGACGACTATGACTACGACGAATTTGATCATCATTACTATTATTGGATTTGATTACTGATAAGCTCAAATCAGGATCAAATAATTTTTGTGGTGATGGGTGTATCAGTTGATTTTCTTCATTACTAATTGATTGTTGAAATTCGTTTACACGATGATGAGGATAATTATTATTCTGTGTATAATTTATTGATTGTATGGATGGCCAATAGTGTTGTCCAATTGTCCATGTTATTTTATCTGTAACTAATAATGATAATGATTATAATCGATGCAAAAAAAAAAATTTATTCCAAAAACAAACTTTCTACATAGCCATTGGTTGATTAATTTTTTTCATCTAATCAAAAATTGAACCTAATATAATCTCTTGCTTACCTTGTTTTGGTGATTGTCTACTGATGATTGGTTTCAATAACAATGTTATAGGTTGCTTTCTATTATTGATCGCTAATATCGATGGCACAGTTGATGATGATGATGATGATGATGTCGTTGTTGTTGTTGTTGTTGAAAATTTTTCAATACATGAACATGATGTGATGATTGTCATTGTTATGATGAACAGAATTATTGTCATTAGATTCAACATCCTACAACGACGTTGTGGCTGCCAATGTAATTTGTTTGTATTTGATGGAGGCCTTTGATGATGATGATAATTTTGATGATTATTAGAACAACCATTGAGTTTTGAATGATATTCATGATTAACATGATTATTAATATATGGCTGGTTTTGATATTGATGATGATGATGATAAAGATAATGTTTATATTGATGATTGTTTGCCATTAACCTAATTAATAACAATGATGATGATATTGATTTTGAAGTTGATGTTAAAGCCATTGGAGTTGTTTCACTGCAACGGAAACAAGTGGTTAGATTTCGATCCAAATCAATAATACAATAACACTTTGAGCAATACATTTTTTGATCGTTACATGATGGGTTCCATAATTTTTTTTTCTTAAAAATTTTTTTCTCCCTTTTGAAAATTTCAATCAAATTAACAATTGAACTATAGAGCAAAAAAGAATGAGAGAAAATAAAGAATAAATTTAATTCAGCAAATAGAAAAAGAAAATTCTGTCAAAACATCTTGAAAATTTGTTGTTATTGTTACTTTGAATAATTCATTTCTATGAACAGATACGCAAACAAACACACAGACACACAGGCACACATACACACACACACACTATTTGTAATCGATTGTTCTGATGACGTTGAAAATGATATGAAAAAGGGGAAAAAATAAGTGAATGACTGGGGCAATGGATGGTTAATGAAACAAAATCTGACACTAGGATTCTTATTATTCTTATGAAATTATTTTTACTGTAAAGAAAGAGGAAAAAAAAGATAGAGAGAAAGAAAGAAAATATAAAGTTCAAAAAGACATTGAAAACAGAATTTTTTTAAAAAAATTGGAACAAAATTGAATGAATGTGATTTTTTTTTATTTTTTTCATTGCAAAATTTAATTTAAATTGAATTGAATTTAAAATGAAATGAAGAAGTTTATTTTTTAAGTTTTCAAATTTTTTTCATCATCATCATCATCATCATCAATTCTCATCAATCTATATATTACGTATATATAATGTGCAAATTCATGAAACCAAAAAATACCAAGTGATAATAATAATGATTTATCTATTTGTCTGTATGTGTTTGTTTGTTTTTTTTTTTTGTTCTCTGGTCTTTCTGGTCGCTATATGGAATTGAATATATATATATAATTATGATGATGGAAACAAAAGAATGAAAAAATATGTGAATGAAATATTAGAATCTGGCTAGGTTTTTGTGGTTTGTTTTTACCACACTATAACACATATATTTTATGGAAGCCCAAAGAGAGAAATATACTCCTGGTGTATCAACAACAACCGGAAACTAATCAAAATTCATCATTTTTCATCGAAATTTACTACCGAATATAAGGTGATGGTGGTGTGCGGCTGTTGGTTGCTAGGACCAAATTTTTTTCGTTTGTTTGTTTGTTTATTTGTTGTTGTTGTTGTTGTTTTTTTTTCATTTGGATTTATAGATATTCATTTTTTTTGTATGAAAATTATTGCATAAATGAAGTTCAATATAATAAAGATAAATGACCCATATCATTTTTCATCTATAATGTCTTTATTGTCACATTTTATTACTCTTTGGCTTCATTTCTTATAGGCAAAAGGGATTAACCCAAAATTTTTTTTTTTTGTTCGAAGAATTAAGTCACAATCTCAATTACCGATTAAGATTTATGGTCAATTTGAATCATTTTATTAAAAAAAAAAATCCAAGTGGTTTTCGACATTACAAGAATTTGGTATATAATCTTATTACAATGCTTAGTCATCTGATTGATTGATCGATGGATCGATCAATTGTTCAGAATTGAATGAAAGAATTGAATGTGTGTGTGTGTGTAAAAAAAGAGAAAAACTTTTTTTTTTTGATTCGATAAGTGGATGATCAAACAAAAACATTACATTTTCGGATCGATGACGATCAAAATTCGGTATTTTTCACCATTTTCCATTTTCTTTATTTTCTTATTACGCACACACACACACACACACACACAAAAAAAAGAAAACCAAAATCCAATACAAATCAATGTTATGAATGAAATTACAATAGTAATGTAGATGAGAGAGAGAGAGAGAGAACTAAGAATGTGCAAACTAAAAAAGACCAAATCGAATATAAAATATCAAGAAACTATTTTTAGATTTTCTCTCTATATTCCACTATAATGAATACATGTTGTGGATTGATGATTGAAAACTACTTCTATCAACTGATCACCATCATTTTATTCACAATACTCGACTGACCCGTACAACAACAATGGGAATGAATTTGAAAAATTATAGATGTTTGGCCCAAGTTGTTCAAACAATTACAACAACAACAACAACAACAACAGAAAACTTCTAAAACTGCAGACTATTTGTCATCATCATATACGACAAAACACAATTATATTCAAACATCGATCCATAACAGTTTTACAGACACTCAATCATGTGTTAGATTAACCAGAAAAGAAAAAAATTTTTTTTTTTACAATGTTTTATTTGATCCAACAACAGTAAAACAGTTGAATACCACTGAAATAATAATGATAATTTTCATTCATTATTAGGTCTATTCATTTGAGCATGAATCTCATGTCATGTTTCTTCTTTTTATTTCTGTTTAGTCTATAAAAAATAAAGAATTTTTTTTTCGATGATTATAATGATGAAAATAACTTGGATTCCACATCACATGATAATGATAAATTTGGATAATAGAACGCCGCAGGATACATTGTTGATGGTGTTGATGATTATGGCATCTGATTTCATCAAAATAATGTGAATGAATGAATGAATAAATGAATGTGTGTGTGATTGAGTGTGAAAAAAATGAAATTTCTTAGCATAAATTGTTGATCATCATCATCATCATCATCATGGGTGATGATGAATGAAAAAAAATCCAAGTTTATTGTGTAAAAGAAAAAAATAATAATTCAGCCACATTTATTCTTTACATCACATCTC